CCTGCTACCTCTGAGATACAAGGCTGGGGGTAGTTCTTTACCTGCTACCTCTGAGATACAAGGCTGGGGGTAGTTCTTTACCTGCTACCTCTGAGATACAAGGCTGGGGGTAGTTCTTTTCCAGCCTTTTCTCGGCATCAGTGTCACCCAGCTCTTTTCTTCCAGAGTTATCCATGCACATTCAAATAATAACAGTCTCAGTGATGCTTCCTGTCACTGCTCCTGTGTTCAAAATGAGGCAAAGAACAGCGGAAGAAAAGTTTATACTTTGTCAGTTCCAAAAGCCTCCGAATGCCCTAAGCTTTCTGATGGAAGGAGAGTGCTAAAAGGACCATAATTGACTTAATAATTGGGGTTGCCCTTGAAAAGCAAGCCCGAGCCAGCTTGCCTCAGTGCTGTGGTAATAATGCAGCCTTTGTAAGTCTTCTCAGCTGTTAATCTTAGTCTGGTTCTTACCAAATGAAAGAATTTGTTATTCGCCTTCCACAGTTCTCTAATCGTTAATTAGTGTAGGAACTTTGCTGTATTTGTTTGCCCTGAAAATTGGAATAGCTCTGAAGTTTTTGTGTGTCCTCTTTAAAGAAGAGGAGCTCTAGGTGTGCTCTGGCCCTGCAGTGGTACAGAAGAGATGAGTGTGACAGGCAGTGGCTTATTATTCCAAGGGATTATTTAATTTTGGTTCATTTTATTTAATTTTGGTTCATTGCACGTGTGGGGCCTGATCCCCCAAGGTGCTCTATTCCCTTGGAACTGAACTTTTATGGCTCATTTAGGACAGTGAGTGCTTTCCTGTGTAAGAAGCACTTGTGGGGTCAGGTGTGGTGACAGCTTTATAGAGCTGGAAATGAGGTGACTTAGTGGAGATGTTTCTTTAGCCCTTTCAACTGTATTTCTTTAGGGTTAGTTTAACTTAACAGAGCTGTTCCCACTTTTTATTTTTTTAGGGAATTTTATTTCAGCTTTTTAATAAAATCTAAACACTTGGGAAAGTGATGTCAAAGTTGCTATGATGCATGTAACCAAATGGCAACACAGCCACTGAGTTTGACCCCAAAACTCATGAAGGTAGGAGAGACTTACATTTTGCATGGTGTCTGCAAGTAAATTTGGCACTGTGATAGAGCAGATGAACTCAAGATGGCAACTGGTGGATTACAGTGCTAGCAAACATCTCCATCATCTTTATCTCCCTCAAAAAGGCACCAAGCAAAACATGTGCAGTGTGTGGAAATGAGATTGAAGCAGTTGCTGCAGAGGAACATACTCACTGGGAGTACTTGGCCCACTGTCCTCTCTTGCTTGGTGTGCTCTGGCTGACACCTCTGGAAGCTGCTGCATCAGTGACCTCTTCTTTCTGTGCTTTCTTCTGTAGAACCGTGAGAGCTTCGGAGGGTCCTGTCTACAAAGGTGTCTGTAAATGTTTCTGCCGCTCCAAGGGCCATGGATTCATCACCCCTGCTGATGGAGGGCCTGACATCTTCGTGCACATCTCGGAGTAAGGAGCTCTGCTTTGCCTCAATTCCTGATGCTTTAGGCATTTCAGATGCAGGAATGGTTCATACTCTCTCCCCCTTCCCTCCGCCAGGAGAGGTTATGCAGGTGTTACAGTCCACACTAGATGATGCTGTTCTTTTCTTGCCTCACTACAAATCTGTTGAGTTAAAAACTAGAAGATGATCCTGTCAAATCTCTTAGAATAAGCTGTTTTACCCAGACCCAGAAGCTTGCATTTACCTGGAGCAAATAATCTGTGCAGTATCTAGTTTTAATGTAAAGATTTGTAACACTGAAAATTTGCTACTTTTGCTGTGCATTGCTTGCACCATTATTAAACTAAAGGTTAATTCCCTCTGTTGCTGAGAAAAGTCACACTTTATTACTTCCTTGAATGTACCTATCTTCAGGTTTGAGCAGTTTATAGCCGAAGTTGCTGTTACAGGTTTCATTAGTTCTGCTGCTTTTTTGCCTTGAGCACACTGAGAACCTCCACCTCTGAACCTACCTTTGGATAAACTAAGCAGATAAAGCTTTTTAAGTCCCTCACTGGGAATTTTTCTCCAGTCTAAACCAGTCTTCTCAGTCTCTTTTCTTAATATGCTGTAGAATTTAAGTATCATTTTAAGACTATAGACTGTACACATACTTTCAGTATATGGAGAGAAAATCTCCTCCAGAGTCTTGCTCTGTTTCTGTACATCCCCTAATCGCATTAGGCCTCTTATCCCTAGTCTTTGCAGAGTTGCTCACCTGCTCTGACCTCAGTATCCTTGTCAGGGTTTGGTGCAGCCCAAGATACAGCCTGGCATCTCCTCTAGCAGCACTTGCAGTGCTGGTTCGTGGTGTCCACCCTTGGGTGAGCTGCAGTGCAGCACATCTCCCCGACAGGCCCTGCCCAGGGGACCAGCTCTGTCCTCTCTGCTTGCCTAACCTGCCAGGTTTAATGGGCAAGGTTTAGTTTGTTTCCAGATCCAGATGTTGACCAGTGCTGGGGCTGGAACTGAGGGTGTGTATCGAGATTACTCAGTGTTTATCTCCAACAACCTCTTCTAGATCTAATCACCAGTCTTCAGTCCACCTATTGCTGACTGTATTGAGGCTGTATAATCCTTATTTGTTGTTCAGAGTGGTTATCCAGTGGTAAGACAACAAAAGGCTTACCAAACTTGCTCATGTTGCCCCAGCTGTCTTTCCTGCTCGTGTGTAGCATATATCTCTGGAGAAGGACTTTGGCCTTGCTCCAGGTTCCTGAAATGTTGGTACACAATGGGTGTTGGCAAGCTGAAGCTTTGTAGGACTTGTGAGTGCTGAGTGGTTTGACTTAGGCATTCGACACAAGCAAATGTCACTGTGTATCTCCTTTTTCTTTCATCTCTAATGCAAATTCACAGTTCCTCCTTATTTCCTGAACAACTTAAAAATAGCATTTCTTATGCCACAACTACAAAAATTTAACTGTGAGTGTCTGGGGTGACCTATGCAGTCACTGCTCAGCAGAGGTTTGCTTAGAGCAGCCCTCTCACAGAAACATGAATTTTCAGCCTTCTAATGAATGCTTTTTAAGGAACTGTCTATTTTCAGTCTTGGTTTTTTTTCCTGTACATTTTCTCTTCCAATTAGTTCAGTAAAATTTTCTTCAGTTATGTGAGATTAACCCTTTTGAACCCCTGGGGAAAACTTTTCGATGAGGGTTGCCCTTTTGTTTGTCTCTATGAAATGTGAACTAACTTTCAGGTTTTCCCAGTTCCTCTCCTATGACCCAACACACTTTTTCCTCTCAGCCCAAACCCAGAACTTCATTTTGGGGGCACAAAGTGCTCCTACCCTCAATCACCCTCCAACCAGCTCTGATTCCTAGAAACTCCAGCGATGGTTTCACTGTTTGGCTGATTAATACTCCCATATGTCTCCTCTGCTGAAATCCTGCGTGGCATTATGAAAATAGCTGTGTCTGCTGTGGTGTTTGGTGATCTCTCACAGGAGTCCCCTCTCGTGGGCTGTGCTGGTTGGTGTATTGATCCCATCTGCTTTCCAAATGCTTCCACTGAGCCATCAATAAGCTCTACTGGAGTAATGATGCCCTGAACGTGGAGTGCCACCCTCCCCTTCCCTCCACCCACTCCATCTCTCCTAAAACACTATTGAACCAGTCACTGAGGTTGTAAAAGTTTATGGGCAACCACACTTCTTGGTGTATTTTCATCAGCGTGTTTGTTTTGCTGACGTACGTGAGGTTCCGGGTTTGCCCTCACCCAGCTATGATGATACCTTTCTTCTTCAAGCCTATTTATGTGTTCAAAGACAGTTTTCCTTGCTCTTTCAGAGGCATTTTTAGCAAGGTTAATTCATATGGATTTCGTAGGACTAAAGGATGTGCTTTATGCAATTTCTCTAGGTCAATTCTGCTCCTTTGAAGACAACAGGATTCTTTTTATTGAACCAGGGCTGAGCCACTGTTTTAAATGTTTCATATGTAGGTACTGTCTTGGAGCTTAAATTCAAGAATAGCTGATGATTCTGCCACAACCTGTTAGTGAAAAGTGCTATTATTGAAGCACTGAAGGTTTCAGCACATTGTGTTCCTTAATTACTCTGAGTATATCTGAGCTGTTGGGAACAGCTTTTAGTGCTGGAGGGTGATGGGATCACTGCCTCAATTCTGATGCAAGGCAGCACTGGAAGGACAAATCAGAAATGCCTTTCACTGCAGTTTATTTCACAGTGAATAGGTAAGATTGCTCTTTATTAATGGGAGCTGCTTTTGCAGCGGCACTGGAACCATCACTGTGGCTCAGGGGACCCTGATGGCTCTGGTTGGTGTAGTGTGAGTTTTGAGATCCTAATTGTTTATCCAGTGATTCTTTTTTACATACTGTACTCAGTTAAACCTGAAGGGGAGTGTCCTCAGCCTGTTCAGTCTCAGTGTGGTACAGGCACCTCCTTGTGAAAGGAAAGAGGATTGTTTCCCCCAGTCAGTCCTCCCTGCAGGCCGAGATTTCAGGAGTGTGGATAGAGTGGTTATGGCAGTTTGCATTCAGCAGGGTAGACTGTATCTTAATGTTCATCACTACTGAGCTGTGATGATTAGTGAAGCTTTGGAGCTTTGGCACCAGCTGCCTCTCTTGCAGAATAATACAGAATGTCTTCCATAAGATGGGATGTCTGTTCTCTGCAAGTTTCCATTTGTTGTTGTAAGATAATAACACTTAGCGTGGCATTTCCATTTCCATAAGTGAGGATTAGCCCAAAAATAAGGTCGAATATATGTGGCATTCAAAAACTTCACTTGGTGTCTGCAAAAGTTTCAATGTCGGTGTCTGTGCAAGAGATCCAGGTGAATGTGGACACGGGTGGACATGTTTTATGAGTGGACTTTGGAGCAAAACTGCTTTATTGTATTGGACTTGTGAGGTGTGGGTAGGAAAACAGAACTGCAGAATTGTTAGGGTTGGAAGGGACCTCTGGAGACCTTGTCCAACCCTCCAGCCAAGGCAGGTTGGAGGGCTGGACACAGGTTCTGCTTCCTTGTCTCACTGGGGATAGTTCTCAGGTTGGTCAAAACCACTGTGCTAGGAAAATGTCGTGTCTCTGTGTGTGATGAGATCTTGTTTTCCTCAGATTCATACCTCACCCCTCTCCAGAACAAGCACAAAGAGTGCTTGCTGTAGTGACTGCAAACCCTAGCTGGCAAGCATGGGGATGGAGGAGTTGCTGAGACAGTAATTCCAGATAGTGTCTCTGGAAAACAGGAAGCAAAGGCTAATTCATTTGTCTGGAGCGAAATTTTTAAAAAGCCCTTAATTACATTTTTCATAGCGACATGTTCTGTTAATGCTTTTATTTCCACCAGCCTGTAAGGTGATCCACAGCCACTTGTTGGCTCTCCAGGCTTTTGCACTGGACTGGGATTTGGCCTGAAGCCTGTGTACCTGCAAGGGCAAGGCAAGGAGGTGGCTCACCAAAGAGCAGTGATGGATGAATGACCACACTCTTGTTGTTTAAAGGTTTGATTTTGCACAGGCAGCGGGTTTAATGAAACAGAAAAAATCCAGGCAGTGCTTGTGGGTTTTCTGCAGTTTGCCAGGCTCTGAAGGGGAAAATGCTGCATTGCAGAGAGGCCTTCAGGCTGTCCTTCAGGCTGGATTCCTGATGGCTGTGGAGAATCCATGCTGTGCTTCCCTCAGGATGTCCACACACAGAGCCTTGGGTCCCTGGACAGATCCTGTGTTTGCTGTGCTTTGCTTTGCCCTGTGCTGTGATCTCAGGAGGTTGTGCCCACAGTGCCTGGAACTCAGGAGTGCTGAGCAGACATGGGCTCTTGGTGGCTCCCAGGTGGGGATATGGTCCCATCCTGCTGTTGTATCTCAGCTACTGGCTATGCTGGAGATGTACTGTCAGCTGCATCTTCCTGCAGGGAGAACCCAGCTGCATCTCAGCTCCATCCCAGCTCCATCCCAGCTCCATCCCAGCTCCATCCCAGCTCCATCCCAGCTCCATCCCAGCTCCATCCCAGCTCCATCCCAGCTCCATCCCAGCTCCATCCCAGCTCCATCCCAGCTCCATCCCAGCTCCATCCCAGCTCCATCCCAGCTCCATCCCAGCTCCATCCCAGCTCCATCTCAGCTCCATCCCAACTCCATCCCAGCTCCATCCCAGCTCCATCCCAGCTCCATCTCTGCTGCACCGAGGAGCTGCCTTTGAGCTATTTGTGTCCATGGACAGATCATCTTTTCATGCTTTTTTCTTTCCTCTGATTTTCTGCTACATCACTCTGTTTGATGCAAAGCATTAATGCCACATCTCCTCTTCTGGCTTCTCTGTGGTGCTGTTCTTCTGGTGGAGTGTAACAATCTGGGCTGGAAATTAACTGATAATTCTAAATGACCTGAGAGCTGAATCAGAGCTGAGAGAACAAACTTTTCTGGCCCCTCTGCCTTCTCTGTGAACTAGCAGCAAACAGTTTCTGCTGACTGCAACTGTCTGCTCTCGGGCTGCTGG